TGTTCATTCTAATAAATGTGTTGTGAGAGATTGGTAATTTGACTCATTTTAGGTAATTTAAAAATTATTGTTGAGAAGTAATAACAAAAAAATTACGTTTAATTTAAAATGTTATTTTCAAAAATAGTTTTTTAATTTTAATTTTTTTTATTAAAAACCCTTTTAAATTTGGTTAACACGTCATCAATTATCAAAGAAAAAATAACAATTTTAAGGAATAAAAAGAAAGACTAAAAGAGATGAAGAAAAAGAATAAATAAAGTTCTTTCATATCATTTATTGTATTAAAATATGGAAGGGACTCAAGCAAAGAAAGTGACATTTACATCACAGGCATATGCATTATTAATGAAAAACTTAACTTTGTTATTTAGAAATAAATGTGCATTATTTTGCCAATTATTGCCATTAATTGTTATTATTTTATGTGGAATTATTGTATTAATTATGAGGGCAGACAGAGAACAAAGTAAATTACCATATATAGTTTATAATACACCTGAAGACGCTTGTTATGATGATGGATGGAAAATGATGAACCCACCTAGGGGATGGTATGTGGGTGATTATATTGGTACTCAAGACCCATCTCAATGTTCAAATAATGCTACAGTATTAGATTCTATACCAAGAATGAAAAATAGTAGTGGGTGCTATCCTAGTTATCAATTTCAAGATAAGGGTGTTGATGATATGATGGTTCGAATTAGACAAATTCAAACGGATTATGATGCAGCACCATACGATGGATCTAAAACACTTCCAGAAAGTGCAGTTATTTTAGAAAACTTAAATACAATAGGAATGAATAAGTCTATTACATTAAAAGTATTATATTCATTATTTGTTATGGATGAAGATCCATTTAAAAGATGTACTACGTTTGTAATGCAATGGTGGTCAAATGCATTAATAAATAATGAAAAAGCAAAAAGTCAATTAGTAAGAGGAATAGGAGGAATACCTCCAGCAAAGATTTATGATGTTATGTATGATTCAATTTTATTTTTCGTATATACACCAATAGTTTTTTCATTATCAATGCCACAATGGTTATATATTGTAGTTGATGATAAATGTAATAGAGTAAGGGAAATGATGAAAATGTTAGGAATGAAAATGACACCATATTGGGTGCTTCATATTGTTTATTTCTTTTGTATATTTTTGATTCAATTCATATTATATTGTTTGTTAGGAGTATTATTTGGAGTAACATTTATTTTAGATGTAAATTGGGGATTATTATTAGGAGTTTTTGCTGGTTATGGATTATGTCAAGTATGTATTATTCCATTATTAAATTCTTTATTTGATGATAGTGCAATAGCGTCAACAGTTGTAACAGTTGCAATTGGATTAAGTGTAGTTATTGGAGAATTTTTAGGAACAACAACAGCAACTAATGGTGAATGGTATTGTATTTATCCACCATTTGCATTTGTTCAGGCATTAGAAAGAATGAATAGTGATTTATTAATATTTAAAACCGTAAATTATCGTTCCATTTATTGGCCAGTATTTGTATCATTATATGGATGGCCAATAATATTACTTATTATTGGATTATATTGTGATATGGTTCTTCCTAGAAAATATGGAACTCCTGAAAGTCCATTATTCTTTTTAAAATGGTTAAATAGGAGAAGAAATGACCTTGGAGAATCAAAAATTAAAAATCCAAAATCAGAAGATAGTGATGTACAAAAAGAATATAAGAAGTTTCAAAAAAGAGAATGGAATTCAAAATCACCACTTATTATTAATGGATTAATAAAAACATTTAAACAAATGGGAAATACTCAAATTGCAGTAAATCAATTGTGTCTTGAAGTTGGTAATGAAACATTTGGATTATTAGGTCAAAATGGTGCAGGGAAGACTACTACTATTTCAATGTTAACCGGATTAATAGAACCAAATGGAGGATCTGCAACAGTGTGTGGATATAATATCCATAATTCTATGGAAGATGTTCATACTGTAGTAGGAGTTTGCCCACAATTTGATGTTTTATGGCCAGATTTAACAACTTATGAAATTATTTTGTTTTATTGTAGATTAAAAGGACATTTTTTAAAATCAAAAAGCGTTGCAAAACATATTTTAGAAGATGTTGGGTTATGGAGTGATAAAGATCCAAAACCACAAAATAGAAGAAGTTCACAATTATCTGGTGGTATGAGAAGAAGACTTAGTATTGCAATTGCTATGACTGGAAATCCTAAAGTTATATTTTTAGATGAACCAACAACTGGATTAGATGTTGCTATTAGAAGAGATGTTTGGGATTTAATTTTAAAAATTCAAAGAAATAGATGTATTATTATTACTACTCATTCTATGGAAGAGGCTGATGTTTTATGTGATAGAGTTGGTATTATGTCAGATGGAGATCTTATTGCATTAGGTACTTGTCAAAGAATTAGGAATCATTATGCACCAGGATATTATATAAAAATTGCTTCAGAAGAACGAATAGAAGTTACTAATTTCCTAAAACAATTACTTGGAGAAGATGTTGAAGTACAAGAAGAAAGAGGTATATTAACAGCAATGATTCCTATTGACAAAAAAAGACTGAGTAATATTTTTAGTGAAGTATTAGAACATAAAGAAGAATTAAAAATTGAAGATTGGGAAATTCAACAAAAAGGACTTGAAGATGCATTTATAGAAATTATTGAAGCTGACAGATCAAGTAAGTCATTAATGTAATTGTAAGAATTTAAAATAGAATGAAGTAAAAAAATAATAAATTCAATTTTTATTAATCATTTTTAGTTTTAAAATAATCTTCTGTTTTCTTATCTAACAATGGACATTTTATATTTTCTATTTGAGAAGTAAACAATGGATTCTTTGATATTGAAGGAACATAACAATTTAAATAATATTCTTTTAATAATGATGTATAACAAGGAGCTAAATTATCTGTTAATAATACAAATCTTAAATTTGTTGGTGTTTGATAATAATGAAATTTGTAAGTGTCAGTACAAAAACATTCAAAAGTATTTGGTGTTGCTAAAGGATTCATACAATCACAGAAATTAGTTATTGACTGAATTAGTCCTGATATAAATTGTTGGTGTTCAATTAATCTTTGTGTTGGTATTTCATTTTTAAGAAAATTATAATAATACATACAAATACCTGCTTCACTATAAATGAATAATGAATATAATTTCATAAATAAATTATTTATTAGTTTCTTTTTAATAAGTTTTTTTCTTTTTCTTTTTTTTTAGTTTTATTTATTTTTGCGTTATATATAACGTTTTTATACTATATTTTGTGTTTTAATTTTAATAGAAGTTATTCTATTTTTAATAAATAATAAAATAAATGAAACGGAATTATCTTTAATGAAAAAAGAATAATACAAATAAAAAAGTCAACTAATAGATATATCCACTATTGGATT